AAGAAGAAGAGAGAGAGAGAGAGAGAGAGGGAGAGGGAGAGAGATATGCAAGGAACCCGCCGACTCTCGGAGAGCGGAACTGTCATCCAGTGTATTCTTTTTTCAAAAAACGAAAAATGAAATCGTTTGATGTTGCCGCTCTAACACCCACATTTTTATAATACAGAGATCGAGATCACTAATTCAAACTCATCATGCCTCTCTTCAAACGTCATACTCCACTCCACTTCCACTCTCTGAACATTTTTCATTTTTCAAAATTTCTTCAACTTTTTCCTTTTTTTCCCCCATCCCTATTCATTCTGCAGTGATCTGCCGGAATTCAAAAATAGGTACAAAGTATTTTTTCTCTTCCCAATCATTCCAAACAAAATATTTCGCTTTTCTTTTTTCTTTGTTTTTCTAATCTCTCTCTCCCTCTCTCTCTCGCTTTCCCTCTCTCTCTCTTTCTCTCCTACTCTCTTTTATTTTTACACCATTTTTCCTAAAGGCAAACTGTACGATCTTCTTATATTGAAATATTTGATGATTTAAGATAAAAATGATTTTATACGGTATAGATATGATTAGCATAATAAACTTGAGGATCGAAACATAGCCTCATCTGCTTAACTTTTTTTTTGCTTAATTAATTTCCAAACACAATTTGGGATTGAATTATTCAAAAACAATTACAAAGAGCTTTTTTTTTTTTTTGAACTAATTAATCTTCATATTTATCCATACTTGAAAGATAATCTCTATCAACTGGACGCAAGAAAATTGAATTTTGATAAGGCCATTAACATCAATTTTAAATTTGAAGTAGTGCACGTTGTATAATCATGCAAATTACTGATCAATTAATTTCAGGTGTTTCCATCTAACCGAATGATGAAAGTACTTCATGATCTTTCGTCTCGTAAGAATTTCAGCACTTTTGACAATGTTTATTTCCTTCTTCAAAAAAAAAAAATTTAATTTTTACTTTGTCCAATTAATTTACACCTGAGTTTCAATCAATGAGTAATGCAAACTTCAAAATGTAAAATATTTCGTTAAAAAATGTTAAAAATTATCATGAATCTTATAAGATATTTTCAAATTTAAAATTTGAAATTAGAATTTGTTGTTTTAACTGGAAGTTAAAACAATTCAATCGGTTTGCGATAGGGAAAAACTTGTTTTCTAGTTGCTTTATTTATAACCTACCGCCATAGTCATTTCTATCAAACGTTCAATCTTCAATTAATATTCCTGCAAAAAAAAAAGAAGTATGGTCTGTTGAAAAGAGATGAGAATTAAAGAAATAATGCGCTTTTTTTTTCTGTCAACCTGAACAAAGCTTTCTTTCGTTCTTTTTATCCCTACCTTAAATAATATTGTTCCATAAAGGTGAATACATAAAGAACAAAAAGATAAAAAATAAAATTTCAAAGCAAGTGGCAATTGAATATAATAAAATTCAGCAGGGGGAAGATGATAACCTAAACAGAAATGAAAGAACACTTCCCAATTTCAAGTACCATAGGTTAATCTAAATAATTAATCTAATTTTCCCTGTGATTTATGGATTTCATTTAATAATCTCAATGAAGTAAACATTAAAAAAATTTTAACCTTAACAACTTTTCAACATTTCCTTTCATTTTGTCTTTCGCCAACTTAGTTGATGATATTTTTTGGAATTAAACAGTAAACTATAAGATGGAATTGGTTGATCCTTCACAGAACCATTCGTCCAAATTTAAAAAACAATTTTAATAGCCATAAATTTAAAAAAGGGGAAAACAATTTTGAGTTATAAATTTTGAAAGGAAAAAGTTGAAGAAAAATTTCAAATTCGATTTTTTCAGCAAATGTTTGAAATAAACAAAAAGATTCTTATAGGAAAAAAATAATTCATAAAGATAATACCAGAGATTATTTGAACAAATACGGAAAGGAATCGTTATCATAATTAATTGACATTATCAAATCTTATATTAATTTGACAAAGTTGTCGATTAAAAATTAAAAAAAGGTACATATTTTTGACTTTTTTAATTATCAGACTGGATCAACAGAAGCAAAAGTTCTAGACAAATTACTAAAACCCGAAAATAAATTCCTGAAATTAATGAAACTCCTAAATTAATTGTAACCGACCCTCGAAAGTTTGAGATGCAAAAAATGTATCCAATGAAACGGGTCGATGTGAAAACGACTAACACTACATTACACGGATAGTTGGCGGCTGAAAGAAGCAATTAATTAGCCGATCTGTCATCCAGCCCAATATTTATAGCTGGATTATAGAGATGGTGGCATTAGTTTCGGGGAATCGTTAGGAGTACCAGAAGAAGATTCGGAGGACCAGGTGGTACCATCCCTGTTGATCGTTCTCTGTTGTGGAGGTGCTTTGCATGGTGTCAACGGTATACCACCACGTGCTAGGAAAGCCTGCTCTTTTTGCCGCTTTTTTTCTTTCATTCGACGATTTTGAAACCATATTTTCACCTGAAACTCATTTCAATTTTTCAATTACATTGTTTACTTCTTCTCACTTCATTCTTCTTATCACAACTTATTTATGTTAACCCTTTTTATCTCCCATGAGACAAGTCACATAGTTTAAATTTTTATTTGTTTCCCTCATTGTGATAAACCCCCAAAGTGATGGTTTGCAGTTTCAGGAATTTCTTTCTTTTCTCTCATATTTTTACAAAATAAACTTCCCGGATTAATTTGGATTTGTGAATAATTTGTTTAGTTATCTATTCATTACTTCCTTTTTCGATTTCATCTCTAACAATACTTTACGCCCTAAATTCTGATGAAAACAACGAATAAATGGATTATATTAATTCTAAAAGTTAATGAACAAATATTGATAAGTATTAAATTAATGAATAATACCAAGCGGAATGATTTCCTAAACCTTTTTTGGATAGGCCGTAATAAAATAAATGAATCTATCCGACGTATAGTTGTCTTATTGTCGAAAAAAAAACAAAAATTTAAAATTGTATCTAAAAATCATCGTTATGAATAATTGTATAATGCAAATTGGATGTCTTAAATGTTAATGACCACAATCATGTTAGCATAATTTCTGGATAGTTGTCAAAATTGGACATATGAAATCTTTATTTAATTTATATCATTCATGACAACTATTCTAAAATACAATTTCAAGTCTTTTTTCTTTTTTTGAAAATCATCGTAAGCTCGTTCATAGATGGTATTAAGATTATCTTTTGGTAAACAAAAAGATATCAATCAAGATGCAATTGCCAATGAATCACTATCATTAGTTACCGTATAATTAGTCTTATCATAGCATTTGAAGTTAATTTCATCATGTTAACAGAAATTTCAATTCAGCTTACTGTAAATTCAATCATCCATAGGCTAATTTTTTTTGCAGTCTAGAGTGTTTCACGCAGCTAAGAATGCAAATGGCATAGTGTTAGGGCTGTCAATTCTTGTCTGGCACTAGGCTTTTTTCTAGAACAAATTGGAAATTTGCTTTAAATTTGACAGCCAATGAAAGCATATATTCATCCTATTTGATGCATAAGAGAAATGATTGATAGTAACGTATTGGGCTTTGGTTTTATATAGGAAAATTCAGTTACTGATTCAGAATTCAAAATAGAAGTGAACGATACAACTACCGCAAAAAAGTATTGTTTTTATATTCCCAATAATATCGATCAGACATATTTCAATCAGGTTGATTTCATGTTAATCAATCTTATAGATATTTATCAATGAACTTATCATGAAATCGAATATCATAAATCGGTAAATTTCATATTTAACAATTACCATAATAAATTAATTGGAATTTCTTTAGTTTTCTATAATTGAAGGAAGTGATAACTGCTATCAGTAAATGCATTATTACACTACCAATAATTACAGTCTATGGCCTGATGTGATGAATAATGTCTATGATAGTCGATTAAAACTTCGAAAAAAAAAATTCAAATTTATTTTAATAAATAGCGCCAGCTTAATCTTAAATGTTTTTTGTTGTAATCTAAAATAAAGAGTGAATTGTTGGCGATGAAAATAAATTAAATTAATTTGTTTTGATTCGATCACCGACAATGTACTTTTGATAAGCTTCTTTTTTTTAAAATTACTTCTCTTTTTTTCAATAAAATCAAAATTGTTTTAAAGTGTATAATGCGTAAAAGCTATCATTAATCCTTTCATACTATTTCAAGTGTACCCAATCCTTTGTCTCTTTTCTCCCTCCTTTTCTTATCCTCAAATAGTATCAGATGAACAACACTGTTGCAGATGTACAAGAAAAAAAAATGATTCCATTGAAGTGACAGAGAATTTGAAATTTTTTTGTTGAAAAGTATTAGCTTTTTATTTCCTTTTAAATTTCAAAAATTTTAATGATTTTTCAAGTGGATTATAGGAATTAGCGTTCATTTAAAGTGATAGAAGTAGCAGAAATATTTTCTTGAATTGGAAAGAACATTAAAAAGTTATTAATTTGTATTGATTAAAAACAGGAGTAGAGTAAGATTTTTTGATGAAAGAGATATTCTTTGAAATGTACAATATTGATTTCCTCAAGGATGACTTATGATTTCATCGTTTTGTCAATTTAATCCAATTCAACTTCTTGACCTAATTCTTGAACATCATTTACACAATTAAATAAGATATAATTTTGTTCTTTTTCTTTGATTATTATATAACGAAAATTTTCAAAAATAAGTATGCTATAAAAAACGAATTTTAATTAATTTCGAATTTAATTTTTCCATCATACAGCATAAAACTTATGTTAATATAACTTAAAAAGTTATCATTACACTAAGATGCATCAAATAATCAAAGAAATTTTTATCTGCTCAACAATCCGTAATTAACATATACAAATATTTGCGCAATGATAGCGGTAAGATGACAGGAGATAGCTAATTTTATTACTGATATGCTTACTTCTTATCTGCTACATTTATTTATTTATTCTAATACTTTCATTTCTTTTGTTGAAAATTTATTTGCTGATAATTTAGTGGAACAGATAAAATAAGTCAGATATGGTAACAGTATAATTACTTGAGTTTCATTTAGCTGTAGGATGGATGCAATTTCAGCTCGCCTTGTTCGATTTAAATATTTCGATGTATAATATTCCTTTTCAAGTTCCGTTAATTGATGAGTGGTAAAATTGGTACGCATCGCATTCGTATCCTCCACCACACGTCGTCTTGGTACTATAAAACAGAAATCAAATTATTCATAGGTTATTGATGATGATTATACAGCTCTCTAAATTATTTATTCTTTATCCTTTCTCATTCATACTTCATCAGAACTTAGACTGAAAATAAATTAATTTAATTTAAAGTATTGTCTGATAAATATCTTTTTTTCTCTTCTCTACTCTTATCAATGTTAATTAAACAAGTTCAAAGACAAAAATTTCACTTTAATATTTATTCAGGTTTTTTTCTTTTTTTGGAACTAATAGCAGTATTATGCTTATTGGTTACGTGTTACACGTACTCACACTAAAATTACAGTAGATTTGCTCACGTACTGCACGTAACATGTCCAAAATCACAGTATCATTTGGTCATTGGTCACATACTGTATAGAATCATTTACTGAGAAGTTGTACCAAAATGCAAACCTGATGATTTAGTGACAGTACGCTTGATATGCATCCATTTATATGTGTTTGCAGTGTTTGCTGCAATAGTAGCGGCTGCAGTCGCGGCTGCAACGGTAGCAGCAGTGGTAGCAGTGGAAGTGACCGAATGAGATTGTTCGGTAGGATGAGCATTAGTTGTCTGTTGATTTTGAGCATAATTAGTAGTAACCCATTGTGAAGTACTTGGTGGAAGTAAATTATGCCCATATGATGAAGTTGGCGGATAAGGTGTTGCTGAGGTGGAAATATAGCCAGCGGATGATGACCATTCACCGTAATGTGGATAAGTGGTAGGTGGACTAGAAGAACCGATGTAAGATTCGGTACAGCTCATTTGTAAGGGTCACTAGCCTAGAAGAAGGAATACTGCTTTCATTTGACTGGACAAATATGCTAGTAATGTTTTGAAACGATATACTCAAACTATACTGATAAAAAGAACAATAAAATCACAATGAAATGGGATCACTGATCATTCGGACAATCAGAAGTACTTTTTGATCTCTTACAACTTGATCATAAATTGTCACTAAAAAAACATCATTTTTAATCAGCTAAGCAAGATTACGGGTATCCATGGGTAGGGTATTGTTATGAATGTAAGTACGGGTACGGGTATGAGTGCATCAGTTAAAATACTGTGCAATAATGCCGAAAAAAAATATACATATATATCAATATGAAAGTCGTTAATTATCGCTCATAAAATTTATTATCACCCATCTAATATGAAGGACTACGTGAGTTCTCACTAGTACTATTAGTTCCTTATTTACAAAGAATTAAAATTTAACGCAATTTTCAAATGGGAAGGGTTCAACCCTTCGGACCCAACGCTACGATGTGATGCGATACTGCTGCTGTTCGAGCAATAAATCACGCCGTCGTATATATCACTCAGGCAGTCTGTCATTCAACTGCACCACACACACATACACACACACACACACACACACACACATAGGCATACAAAACATATACACACATACACCACATACACACATATACACACACACACATACACACATATACATACACACACATACATACATGCAAAGAAAGAGTAGGAGTAGAATAGGATGAGATGGGGTGCGTGCATGCGTGTCTTAGGGGCGTGCAAGTTGATCGTTGAAATAACCAATCCGGTAGCCAACGCACTACGGTGACTTCCTCTTTCATCTAACATTTTCAAAATTCTTTTTAAACGAATTCATCCTTGCAACCATTTATGGCAAATATTCCTGATAGTTGCAAACGTGTGATATACGTGAATAGACTCATTCAATGATACGTGTAAACACATACGGAATTATACGTGTTCTAGTTTGTGAAGAAGAACCAAATGCGCTAGGAAGAGAAGATGGATTGAAATAGAAACACTTTGGAAATGTCTCATTAATCTTCCTTTTTTCTTGTCCCATACACATACACACATACATGCATAGATGCATGCATGCATGCATTCCACACAGACGCACAAATTATCCTATCAGCTTATTTTGGGACAAAAACATTATATTCCTTTTCCGGCGCCATATTTACACATTACTTTTCGTTTTCGCACGGTTCAAAAAATGATCCAAGCGATCTACCACCAGCTAATTTGTCTTCTTTTCAGTTTTGTTAATTTCATTTTATTTTTAATTAAAATAATTTTAAATTATTGATCGATTTGAAAAATCTCCAATCAGTTTTCGAATATTTCAACAGCATAAGCTAGTAAATCATATGATTAGCCATTTTGCATGCGCTTTTTGACCGCAAATGGACACCACTTAAAGGACCACAATCGCTTGTGTCAGGGTGATAAACATAAAATATCTTTCTTTTCTTTCTCTACTCATAGTAAAGGGTAAATAATTAGCTATACGGTGTAGTCCACTAAGATTATCATTAACTAAAATGCTTTATTGATTTTTCGTATTACTGTTATTTAATTAGTAAATGATGCAAGAAGTGAAAGATACAGATATTAGATCATTCTGTTACTTTAGTATACATCGTTATACTTGGCTATTCAATAACTTTTATAATTCTATATAGGAGAAAGCCAAGGTATCATATATTTAAGATCAACTCAAAAATTTGAACTGAGTGCGTTTACTTTCACTTTTAATAGTTAAGAATAGCACAAAGTGGGAACATTCGGGTGGACAATGGCTATTACCTGCTACCCAGTATGCTTTCTTTTTGTACTGGCTATTTCTGAACTAACTAACTTCCCGAAATGCCAATAACCAACCACTGAAGTGTCCTAAAATAGGCAACAAAACTTTTCAACAAATCTCATCTCAAAACACATCTAAATTTAAACGGTTGAAAATTTTCGTTTTTCTTTTTTCCCATAATCTTCCTCCTCTTCATTTTTAACAATGAACTTTGTCCAAAATGGATTGCTCAATTGGCAGAAATGTTTTTGCCTGCTTGGCTATTGAGAAATCAGGAAAATTTTGCTCAAAGGCAAGGATAATGAGCTGAACATTTTTTTTTTCTTTGACCAATCAATTAACCATATCAAATGCTTTTTAACTAATATCATAGTCCAAAACAAATAATAATAATAATAATAACAATAATAATAATAATAACAATAATAATAATAATAATAATAATAATAATAATAATAATAATAATAATAAAACATTAAACAAAACAGTGGCAAAATGCGGACAGGCTTATATGTCATCTTATCTTTTAGTCGAAAGAACAAGGAAGCGCTAATTTCCAAACAATTATTTTAGCTTTTTTTTTATTTTTTTTCAAATTTCAAACTTCGTTTGCTAGACAATACAATGGAAAATTTGCTCCTAAAAATTTATCCGACTAAGTGATTGTTTTTTCTTTCTCGCTCACTTTTTTCTGTCCCATCTTTCTCAGAATTTAATTTATTTTCTATTTTTATGAGATGGTGAAATTTAAGAAAGAACCAGATTTTACTGCCTTGTCTTTTTCATTTTTCAAATTTTATTTCTGAGTAACGAAAAATAAAAAAGGAAAAGCTCTGAAATATAAGTAATCGTAGAATGAGGTAAGTAGATAGTTAACTGGAATTCAAATAAAATAATTTATTTACCTTAAAATACTGAAGTGATACATTTCAAACAAATTGTCGTACATCTATCACTTCATGAAATGTAACATTGGAGGCAAATGAATGGATGATAAAATGAATGAATGGGAAATCCTTCGGCAACACAAATGATAGATTTATCTGCTTATCTTACTCATTGAACACGTGATAGATACTTTTGTTTCGTTGTGAAAAAAAAAAAAAACTTACCGTCTTTTTTTTATAAAAATTTAAAAAGAAAAAAGAAAGAGAGAAGATGAAAGGCAATAAATTTTTTTAATTCAAAATTAATTTTTTTTTATGAAAATTTTTTATTTAATATTTTGACATAAGAAAATAATTAAATGAATAATAAATGGCATATACACATAGTGGAATTTAAAAGAAATGAAATGAAAATGATAGTCAGAAAGAAAGACAGATTGAAAAGAAAGGAAGACATCCTAGAATTGATCCATTCTCTAACAGTCTAATATTTTACGGTAATTAATTATATGATTTGCAATAAGTATTTAAAAATGAGAAAATGAATGTTTTTAAAGGTTAAATTTGAGATATTATAAGCAGCAAAGTGCGCTTATCATAATGATTATGAAATATTTTTTGAATGATGACATTTTATTTATTTTTGTTGAACTTTCCAAGAAGTCTTTGCCTATCTTTTTATTGAGGTTGAATTATTTGATACAACAAAGTGGTTGTTTCTTTAGTGATTCCGCCCCGAACGGACGGGGATGGATAGATGGATGAGTGAATGGATTGCTTCTTCTTCTTCTGTTTAAATATCGTTTTGTTGAAAATTTTAGCAAATCCTCGATCGATCACATCCATAATTTCGTATTCTTTTGATTGCTTTCATTGGGCGTTTCCAACATTTCTCACTGTTTAGATGATAACTGTTAGCATTAAGTTAAAAAGTTTCACCATTTATTCTACAATTTCGTTTAAATAATCTTAGTTCAAATTTTAATTAAATACTCAAGTAACGCAAAAAAATGAAAAGCCACCTTATTTTCCGTCAATATTTTGTGGCTAATTATAATTTGAAAAAATTTCATTTTTAAATCTTTGTGCGAGTCTTTATAAACTTTGAATTTCTTAAAAAAGTAGAATTTCAACAAAAATGGGAAAATGGAATTTCAATTTTTGAAAAATAGAATTTTTTTTTGAAAGATGGAATTTCAACAAAATGGGAAAATGAAATTTCAATTTTTGAAAAATAGTTTTTTTTTTTGAAAAATGGAATTTCAGCAGTTGTGCTTTTAACTATGTTTATCAGAAAAAAGAAAGTAATTCGGTTAGCATATCAATTGGTTTTATTAATATTTATTAGAAAAGAATTGAAAAAATTTTTATTCCAAAATATTTCCAAAGGCTAAGCAATAAATTTAACTGATAGAGTGAAATATTATCAATTTTAGACTTTAAAATATTCAGATAATTTGATTCTTTCTAAAAGAATTGTATGAAGAAAGTGTGATTTATTTAAAGGAGAGATACTTTGTTACATAATATCAAAAAAGTAACCAGCGATTAACTTTTTTTCTCGACCATTGTCAACCTTAATGTCATACAAAGAAGGAAGAGAAGATAACAGCTGCATTAGTGAATGGTAAATGATAACTGTGATAGTTGTGATACGTTTTGATAGAATCAACATTTTGGCAATCAGACGACAACTCTTTATCGTAGCGATACCTCTTACCGTTTTGATCATCCTTAACCCATTTTCTTTTTTGCCGGTATCTATCAGTTGTATTAGTATCAACAACTGTCACTCATCACCATCAAAACTTACCCTTACAA